ACACTCAGATTGCTTTAAAGTTTCCACTTTTCACGACTGCATTGTGATAGTTTGCTGTGACCTGTGGATGATGGACCTGGAATAGAAAGATTTACTGCTGCAGAACGTGACTGATGCATAAATGACATTCAGTGTTAAACAAACAGAACCATCAAAAAGTCACAAATGACCCCACCTGGTTATTTAAGCGTATTTAAACAGTACCTGTAGTTCGTAATCAAAATAGTTAATTCAACGTTTAAGTTCACCATCACCTTCCTGTTTTTAAAAGATTCCAGTGTTTAAGGTTTCACAGTTCAGAAAGCCTGCAGAGAGTTCCTTTTAACAGAGTTGCATCATCGCTGCTGCTGCAAGATTGTTGTGGGGCAACAAAATTACAGCTCAGGTCAGTGATGAAGTTTGTTGAGACACTGCTAGGATGCGATGAGATGGACAGGAAGTGTAAGCAGGAAGTCTGAAGACAAGTGCGGGAAAAGTGACACGCGGTTTCTTTTCTTGTTGTGTTGTTTCACACAGACCTGCTTCTCCAGTGTGTCGGAGGGTTTTATTTTTGTTGGTCTGATTTAAACGGAGCAGAGTTGACTCGCTCGCTTCCATGGAGACTGTCGAGGCTGATTAATAGGATTAACAGGCTTGTACGCAGGTAGGATATGCTGTGTTTATTGGCGCTTCCAGCAAAACACAGGCCACAGCGTGGGGAGTGCTTAATTGACTTTGTGGGCGTGGGCGTGTGTGCTTTTCCAGCCAACACACACACATGCTGATAGAGAGCTCAAGGGGCACTGGGAGCGGTGGGTTTGGTCCAGCCTTTAATCAATATTATCAGTAGCTAAATGTCATGACTTTGCAGAACTGAAGACCGATACAGTAAAGTGCAGTAAGATACAGCTGCTGAAGTTCAAATACATCTGGCTCATAAAACAACTGATAACACGGAGCAAAACATACACACATGGATCAGCTGATTAGCCAATAAACAATCTTTCTCATTTTTCAGTTTATTAAATGTTTTGTATTATTTTGTTAATACAACCCCCCAGGTGTGTTTTAAAGGGAGGCTTTGTATTATGTTTTTCTTTTTAGTTTATTCAATGAAACCCACAACTTAACAATATTCTGATTTATTTCTAATTAAATGAAAAAAAATGTACATTTATTTTTAAAATTCTGTGTCTTTAATTATTTTTTTTAGATAAATTAAAATAATTTTAATTTAATTTTATGCTTTTCTTTAAATATCTTGCAAAATAGCTGACAAACCTTTGAGTGTAATTTAAATATTTGAAAAATCCATCAGTGATATAAAAAAATGAGTTTGTGCTGCTGCAACGTGTCGGCTCCTCTGTTTGCAAAAAGAAGTCAGATCCTATAGAAGTCAATGATAAAATGACCCGACTTCTCACTTGATTTATGACACCAGGACACGTGTTCCTTATGGGTTTATGGCCTCAGTTGCTATTTTAAAGTCTTATTAAGACATCGTGATGCTTGTTTTGGTAGTTAAGGTCTCATTAGAGTTATGGAGCAGGATAAAGCGGGGTGTGATTTACAGCGTGGCTGCCCTGTGAGCCCTTTCTCAGCACATTTGGTTTGAGAACAACTACATGACAAAGCTCAAAGTGATCCAAGGCTTCAGTATAAGATATGATGGTGGGTAAAGTGACAGTGGCTGCAGCCATCTATTATATACAGTCTTTGGTCACAGCTCTACTACACTCCTTCGCACCAAACTGGGCAAAGCCTTTCTTTAAGGAGCTGGCTGTGCGCTTGATGGCCGCACAGGGCAGACTGTCGATGCAGAGCTGGAAGCACTCTTGTCTCAAGTAACGTCATGTTGTCTCTTCACTGGAACAAAAGGCCCTGAACAAATACAGAAGTGAATATGCTTCAAGTATTAAAATCCTCGGATCTACGTCAGTACTGCTGCATCTGTTTGAGGTAGAGCTAGTTTAGTCTTTGTGTCTTTGTTACGGATATGATAATGAGGAAACACGATTCATTTAGATCGAAGCTTCAAATAGCCACCCAGAGATGTTTTAAACATGGCTGCCAAGTGTTGAGACTTTCATCTAGAGGGACTTGGCGATCAGTCAAGATATCCCTGAAGGAGAGCTGCCCGTCAAGTCACAGTTAGTCACGTCTCTTTTTGAATAAAGCACACTGAATTTGCTGAGACGGGAGCAAAACAAATTCTGATTTATTAATGTGACTTGACTGTGTCTCGGAGTTAAAGAGATGATCTTGTAGCTGAAAGGTCGCAAGCTTGAGCTTCACCTCAGGAGCACGTCGACTTGAATTAAGTCTCTGCTCCCATCAGTGCCATCGAGTCGAATCTGAATAGCCAGGAGTCGCACAAACTGCAGTTATTTGGTGTTTTCAGGAGAATCTAATCACCGTGAAGGAAAATGTGGCCTGTGTCTGTTTGCAGTCGAGACAGCCATCAGAGGAAGATTTAATCAACGCCGTGAGCAAACCTGTTAGAAATCAGAGACTCGCCTGAAGCTCCTGACATTAATCTGCTGCCGAGCTTTTCGGTAAAGCTGAAGGTGTTAAACAAACCAGCAGCAGTCTATGATTCTGGAAACGAGAGGAAAGAGGGACGGTGCCATTAAATCATTTAAAATACCTTCTTTATATTAATGTGTTTAAGCCGTATGAGTTTAAAAAAGCAGTATAAGTTACACTAGCATATATTTAACAGATTAATTTAAAGGGACTTTATTTCAGAATCAATTGAACCCTTTTTTTAATCTTCTGGCATGTAAGCAACAAACATGCAGAAAACCTTCTAACCTACCATTGAGTTAGACTGGGAGAGGAGGTTAACACAAAGGTCACCCGGAGGATCTCCTTTTAAAAAGGTTCACTCCTTAATGAGTACTTTTATTTTAGATGCATATCATACAGAAAATGAAAGATTTGGGGTTATTG